GGGGGGGGGGGCAGCATCAGTGTGGAGTCGCGCCTCCGTGTGGGCGATCATCAGACGACCGCAAGTTCCATGGAGCAGAGAGAGAGAGAGAGAGAGGCTGGCAATGTGGCAAGCACAAGCAAAGTGTCCTTCGTTGTGTGCGTGTGGGCATTGTGCCCTTCATTACGCTTGACTTGTTTGCTCGGGCTTCAGAACGTTCGTCGCATTTCTCTTCTATCCTCTCCTTTCTATTCGCAGTTTAATTCATGATGCGCCGCCTGTTGCCGTGGCGCAGTGTAACGCGACACACACACCATAGTGAGACTACTGCTGCGGCAGTGCTAGCGGTGAGTTCCCGATGGGCGTCGACGGCTCCGCCTCTCTCGCTGCTTTCTTGGTCCGTTGACGGTGCGGGCCACACACATCACCGCTGTCGCCGTCGCCTCTCGCTCCACGAACGCATTCCGTTGCTCTGCAGCACCATCAAGGAGGCGGCGCCGGACGTCGTGGCGCTGCAAGATTCCCTGCCAGAGGTGGCAGAGGCGCTCTGCAGTTTTTGCCCCTCCCACAGCAGTAACGGGAGTGGCACGCCGTGTAAGATCCGCCCAGCGGCGGACACCGCGACGGAGGTTGCTGTAAAAGGGCCTCAATATGAGTTGATTGGGTCGGTGCGCAACGGCCGCTGTGGCTATCTGCAGCTCTTTCGGCGCTGTGACTCCGCGTGGAGCGGGCGTCTTCTCCCGCACTGCCCTTGCCTCACCGCTGAGTTCGTCTCGGACGTCCGTGACGGCAACAACACGGCAACAGCGAGGACAAGTAGTGGTGGTGGTGGTGGTGGTGGGGCCAGCTTTGTGCTGAGCAACGTGGACCTTTCTTACCGCGGCAAGAGTCTGGCAGTGGGGGGCAAATCGATGGCTTCGCCAGCGGTGAGTGCAAACGGCAGTCCATTCACACTGCGTGTCGGCCCGGGCGAGGCTACAGCGGCGGCAGCAGCGACGCGTGTGAAAGGCCAGCTGGACCCGCATCGCGAGGCGGCGCTCACGTTTGTCTCGCACGTCGCACGCCCTGACGTGCTGATCGGCAACTTCTTCATGGGGCGAACGGACTGCGTGCCGGGCTACGACGACGCGTGGGTGCTCGCGGGGGCGCCGGCGGAGCATGAGCGCACCACCAACACATTCGCCCACCACAAACACGATGCGGAGACGAACTTCTTCTACTTTGTGCCGCGAGACACCAGAAATGAGGTGGGCTCATTGGTAAACAGCAGCACCGCGGCAGAGGTTGCGGCAGACGCGCTATTGGGCGCACGAGTTCCTCTCAACGCACGCCGTCACGACGGCGACGCAGGATGGAGTGTCGCCCACGCTGTTACAGCCACGCCTTCACCGAAGAAGGACAAGGCGGGGGAAGAGGGCGCGACGTCAGAGCAAGAAGGGACGACGCCACAGGTTGCGGGGCGGTTTCATCGCTGCTTCTTCCGCCACCAGTCGTCACGGCACCACAAGCGGCAGCTTCCACTCTTTCGCCGGTATGAGCGGCGACAGCTGGTGGTGTTGAAGCCCTTCACGGAGGTGCCCCTGACAGCGGAGGAGGCCAAGTCTCACAGCCTGAACAACAAGAGTGACAACAGCAGCGAAGGCCGCGTGCGCTGCTCTGCCTCGGATTCGTACCCCATTTTGGTCCTTTTGTCATGATACCTCACTCCTTGCTCTTCAGGCGGTTCCTGCGGATGGGCGCGCGTATTTGCGCAGGCGTCTTTATGGCGGCATCGCCGTAGGGGCGTGTGGACCCTTGCCGGATGTGGACAAGGGTTTTATCTCACAGGTACCAAAGCTTCACTGCCTCATTTGCGTTTTGGGGTGTTCTCTGAGACGTTGGCATGCTCGTGAACGTTAACTGTACGCATTGCACTCGGGGGTTTTCTCACGTTGGCTCTTCTTATTGGGCCCCCCCTTCGCACATTCCACTATTGCTGTTGTTGTTGTTGTTGATGATGTGCGCCCATTTCCAAAGAACAAAGAAAGAGAACCAGGAAGGAATATGCTGGAAACGGATGTTTGGCTGACGAACTTCTCCAGGCCACCCACTGGCGAAGGGATAACGCGTGCACCGGCGCCGCTACCAGACGGTGTTCTGCGCGCGGCGTATCGCCTCCACATGCCTTGTCTCTGTCGACACACAACAGTGCAGAACCGGGCGGTGAACTGCGTTGCTGCTCCACGCTGTTTTGCCGGGATGCAAACCCTCTCGACTGACGCAGCGGCACTCAAGGAGTGCGTTGCGGATATCATTGGTGAGTCCCCTTTTCTGCTGCCGGAGGACAACAACAGCTGTAGCAGCAGCAGCATCGATAACACGGCAGAAGACATCCCGGTCCGTGCCACCAAGGCCACAATTCCACGGAGGGGCATAAGAAACCTGGGAAACACGTGCTACCTCAACGCTGTGCTGCAGCTTCTCTTTAGTATCCCACACGTACGCCATGAGGTGTTGCGCGCCTGCGCGGGTGATGACTTCCACACTGTGGAGCCTGGGGTTTGCGATCTTACAGGCGATGCAACGCAGAGGACACAACCGCAGGGCCACACGGAGGAGGAGGGGCTCCTGGCGTCTGGCTTAGGCGAGCTGTTGGCTGAGATGGCGTTCACCCGAGACGGCAAAGGGGCCAACGCCCAAAGTTTTGCATCTTTTCTCTCCCTCGACACCCGAACGCAGCAGGATGCACAAGAGTTTTTCGCTCTTCTCTTGGGATGGCTCCACGATAAGGGCTGTGAGGCGGTGGAGCGCGTGTTTAAGGGCACGCTGCTGTATGACCGTAGTTGCGGCAGCTGTGGTCGCCCGTTCAAGCGTGCGGAGCCCTTCTTTTTTCTTTCACTTCCGGTGAATAGCTCGGTGGAGGAGGCGCTCAGCACCTTTCTGCGCCACGAAGAGGTGGAGGGCTTCATGTGCGAGGGATGTAGCGCCACAACAACGGTTCTTTCGCGTCAGTACATTCGAACACTCCCTGACATTCTTGTGGTGCACCTCAATCGCTTCACGTTTGATATGCAGACTCTGCAGCGCCAGAAGCTGACTGAAACCGTGAGTTTCCCGCTCGAGTGGGACCTAACTGACCAGATGAAACAGTGGCAGCAACGAGACGAGGCGAATACCTCCACTAATCCATTGTCAACCTCAGATGAGGCGCGTTACACGCTCATTGGTGTCGTGAATCACTTTGGTGAGACTGCTCTGTGTGGTCACTATACTTTTTACGGCAGAACCGATGAGAAGGGCGGTTGGTGCCACTTTGATGATGCGGAGGTGACCAAACTGCAGCATCGTTTCCAGGGCACGCGGGGCTCTTCAAAGGATGCCTACATGTTGGTCTACCAGCGCCGTGTATTGCAGGCAGCAAATGCCACCGGTGAGGTACATGTTGACCCAAACTGCATGACGGCAGCGATGGGCAGTGATGCCCCCGATCAAATTGTGCTTCCACCTCGTCTCATAAGGCACGTGGAGCGAATCAATCGTGAAATGGTGAGTGCGCGTCAGACGTGGGAGACACGGCGTGCGGAGGTGGCGTCCTTCCTGCAGCAGTGGGCTGATGTCACGCGAGAGCTTTTTGATGGCTCTACAGGCAACAGCACAGGATCAGCAAATGATAATGGCGAGGATGGTGATGTGTGCGTGAGTGTAGATCCAGATGACTATGTTGCGCTCCCATCGGAATGGCTGCAGCAGCTTGGTCGCTGCTTCTTTCCCTCATTTGTGGACGTGGGGCGGTACGGTGACGGAGACAAGAGAAAGAAACGACTGCGTGGGGGCGGCGGCGGGGGCGGCGGCGGCGACGCAGTGCAGAACGAGTCAGCTACGCCATGCGTGCGCCAGGGGTGTGAAACGCCTACAATCGCCGAGTCCATGGTGAATGCGACGGAGCGGGCGGTTAATGATGTACTTGGTGGAGCTGGAACAACATCAGTAGCAGACTGCGTGTTAGTTGAGGATGCCTCGCAAGCTGCTTTGGGTGATCACATAACCAGCCTGTGTTGCCCTCACGGTAAGCTGACCCCTTGGGGCCAGTACAAACTGGTGCCGTCCGCAGCAGTGGCTAAGTTGGCGTCATTGTTGGGTAAGACTCCCGTATTACCCATTTCTTTTACTGCAGCAAGTGGGGACGACACCTCCCTTATGAGATGGCGGGTTAGGGATAGCACTTGCGACCTCTGCACTGTAGCTATGGCAGAGGAAGTGTTGAAGCTGAAGGATTCATGGAATGAGGAGAGAGCGGCCTTGGCGATGCTGCGTGACATTCGTGAGGAAGGCAAGAGTAATACGAGTGCCAGCAACAATAGCAACACCGGGGGGGAGGTAGGTGTGTATGTGAGTGAAGACATTATCGAGTACTGGGAAGAACTTCTTGCGGTGCAAGCCAAAGGGAAAGATGTGGTGAGCCGCCAGGGATTCACTGGGTTTTATACTGTTTTGCGTCAGAAACGCCAAGGTGTCTGTTGCGACGAGACTCAATCTGTTCCATACTTTAATGCACCCGAGAAGCTTCTCTGCGAACATCACAACCTCGCCCCGTCCGCAGTGGTGCGTGTTGTTCCTGAAGCCCTCTGGCGTTATCTTCGCGAGCGGGTCGTGCAGCCGCTATGTAGCAACAGCGACAGTACTCCAACCACACAATTGGACGAGTTGATACCGTACCTCCCCGTTGACACAGTAACCAAGTGCTTCGACTGCATTCAAATTACTGTGAACACGACAGCAGAGCGTCATTACATTAAGATGGCGAAGTTGGATGAGGCAAAACGATTCCCCACTGTGACCGCCCTGTGCCAACTTTTCTCCGTAACCCAGGCAGAGATGCGGGCACAGCACCCGAACCGCTCGGTGTGGAAGCGGAACCTTGAACGGTTGTGTCGTGAGCAGCGTGTTTCATGGGAAAAGGAACAGGCCGCTGCGATTGCCGCGATTGAGGCGCAGATCGCCACCCTCAGGACTGAGGCGGAGCAGAAGAGTCGGGAGAAAGCGGCGTGGGACTCACGGATAGTGCGTGGGAGGGGCAACCGGAAAGGCAACAGAGTTAATAGTTCTTCTTCTGCTGCCAACGCCACCCAATCCGTACCGCCATCGTCACCGCTATTATCATCACCATCACCCGAACTTTCTGCTGCTTCCACCACCAACCCCTCACGACTGCAGCTGGCGTGTGAGGCGCTCAGTACCGCGCGTGCCGCAACCTGTCCGGAGTTGTATAACGCCTACGGCTGCGTTCCAACGTGGTGGGTTATGCAGTGGCGGCGGTGGTACGCCGACGTGGACGGCACCGTCACGCCACCACCTCGCTTTGATCACGACGATTTCCACTGCCCACACGGTGGCGCCTTGCTAGCGCCGCACCTCCTCAACCCCGCCGACCCGCTTTGGGAGACAAAGTCTTTGGCTACTCATCTCGCGCGGGTGTGGAGGCGTCGAGACGCTGTTCCATCCACTGCTGCTGCTTCTACTACTGTCAATGCTGCTGATTCGGTTGAGGAGGACGACCTGCCGGGTATCCCTCCCCTGCTACTAGTGCCCATGAAGGAGTTTGTTGATATTCTCGAGGCCTACGGGAGTCCAGACATGCTTCTTCCAAGAGGGGAAGGCGCTGGAGAGAATGTGGTGCGTGGCGTCAACGCGGCAAAGACTGTGCTTTTTGCGGAAAGGAACACAGAGCGCGTGTTTGACCCCCCGTCCTGCGATGCCTGCGTGGCGGCACTTCTGGAAAGCGTCCAGGAGTCCTCCCAGTGCTTCGTAGATGGCTCGCTGAGGCTGCAGCTGCACCTCCGCCGCAGCAGGAAGCACTTCTACGACGCCAGTGATGTGCTCCGTTGTGTGCACCACACCACCACGCTGCAGGAGCTCAAGATGGCGATATCGCAGCGGGTGCTGGAGGGACACGGCTACGTTTTGCCCCTGGAGGAGATGGAGATCCTTCGCGGCCGCAAACCGCTTCGCCGCTATCGGGCTTGCCCCAATAGCAAAGAGGTAGTTGCCGTTTCTTCTCCCATTACTGGTGAGGCTCCTCTTGTGATCGACGTTGATGCGGAGTCGACTCCGCCTTCTTCTCAGACGAACGACAACGAGTGCACGCTGTTCGAGTGCGGACTCTGCGACGGGGACGTGCTGACGGTGAACGCGACGGAGCGGGCGTTGACGAAGTTCGCCGGCAATGCCGAAGGAGGCGAGGTATGGGAGGAAATTCCCGCCGCGCTGCTGCAAGCAGCACCCGAGAATGCTACTGCGTTCGGCGCCACGCGGCTGTACGGTGCGGTGGCGAATGCCCGCGAGGGGGGCAGCGGTGGGGCGGCGCCGCAGCTCGCGTGTGTCGCATGCACATTCATCAATGAGCCGGGCAGGACTGTGTGCGAGATGTGCGAAACGCCCCTGCCGACGGCCGCCTAGAGGAGGCAGCAGGGGCGACAAGAACGGGAGGAGGCGACGCTGTGTGTGTGTTTGTGTGTGTTTGCTCTGTCGTTGCGCCCCCTACCACTCGCACAGCTGCTTCAGTGCGCAGTGGTGGGGGCTTGGAAGCGCTGAATGCATACGTGCGCGCGTGTTTGCATGTTTGTCTGCTCCTTGTTAAGGACAAAGTGTGTGTGTGAGAGAGAGAGAGATGAGGGGGTAACAGTTTAACGGTCTGCGGTTGATGATTCTCTGCTATGTGTGTCTGCCTGCGTAAAAAAAAAGTCCTGCCAAGCGTGCTGGTGCCGCCTCACCCTCACGGTATTCTTCATGTCTTTCAGCGATCCTCTCTCCCTGCCGGCTTTTCTTTCCGTTTGTTTTCCGCCGCTTCTCTCTGCGCCCGCCGCTGCACGCTCGTGCGGTGTCTCCTAGACGCGTGGCCGGCATTGCAGCATCGTTGACACAACGACTGCGCGTGACGCGACCACGCTCAGAAGAACAACCGACACCCACATAAACAGTCACAAGGAAGGCATGATAACACTTGAAGGCAGCGGGGTGAACGGCTAGCTGGACCACCCACGGTGGCTGCTGCGTGTACCACACGGACAGAAGCACACCATGCATCATGCTGTATCGGTCTCATAAAGACAATTAGGTGCTCGACGGCAGCGCTGCGTGTTGAGTACATTCGCCACGGCTCAACTTATGCTGACGAAGGTACTGTCATGTCTCTCTTACAGAGTGCATATGGGTCTCATCGATGCTGCTGCACACATCGTATCGCTGCTCAGTGTGAATGTTTGAATGACGCTGCCCGGGAAACGGGGGCTCTAATTATCATGAAGACTAAACGGCAGCCCCACGACGCGGTGCGCGGGGAGGGGGTACTGGGGAAGGAGGGTAGTGCCCCTGCACATTCCTTGACTACACCGCACAGCGGAAGTCGTAGTTGTTGGCTTCTGCAGGAGTGGCCCCGTTTCATATGGCGCCGCAAGCCGATCTGCGGCTCTTTGCTGGCGTGTGGTGCGTTATGCCTGTGAATGGGGGGTTGTGCACATGTCGTGGGGATCTCTTACATGCGCACACCCACACCCACACACGTCTCCTCTTCCCCTTCATTTCTTCTTGCTTAGATTCCTTCCTTTTTGAACCATATCATCAGAGAAGTACACAACAAATTCGGATATGATGGACAAAGAGAACACCGTGTATAAAGTCTACCACGAGGCAACGCCAGTAGTGGTGGCGCAAGGAATTCCCTTGGAAACCCACGCGTACCACGTAGACCCCAGCGCTTCAGAGAGCCGCCGCGGCAAGTGCTTCAATCTGTTCCATGGTATGCTGATTGGCGTGAATATGCTGCTGGCCGTGGTTTCCGGCATCTATCTACTCTTTCTGCTGCTCAGTCTAATCAAATACGGTGATTCTTCAGATGGTGAGGGACGCTTGCGACCCTCTGAAGTGCTTGTCTCCATTGGCTTTTGGGTTGGAGTCTTGGGCTTGTCGCTTCTGGGAGTTCACGCACTCCGCGGCAACAATCCCTGCATGCACACCGTCTACTTCCTCTGCCTGGTGGTGGGATTTCTGTCTGCGCTTGCCCTGTCATTGTGCTATCCCATCCTTCTGCTGCAGGAGTCCCTGCTGCGCCACAACTGGGAGAGGATCGCCACGGAGGCACCACAAGATATTTGCGAGGTTGAAGTGCGGCTCCGCTGCTCTGGGTGGGAGACGCGGTGTGGACAGCAGGTGCCGAGTAACAGCTGCCCAGTGTGTAGCCCGAGCCAGCAGGAGGCGATCAATACGTTCGATCAGACATGCGAGGCTGTGCTGCATGACTTCAAAGATGTGGCCAAGGTGTCCCTTGCCGTTGGGCTACCCGTTGGGGCCCTCACGCTCGTCGGTATGGTCGTGACATGTCAACTGCGTCGCAGAGCGAAGCGCGAGGCGGTGCGGGGTGCGCCGTACTTCCTGATGGAGGAGGGCAGCGGGTGACACACGACTGCGCCTATATATATATATATATA